GTGCGTTTGTGTGTTTGTGTGTGTGTGTGTGTGTGTGTGTGTGTGTGTGTCCTGATCGTATTGTCGATGTGTGCTGTCGGATTCGACCATCCTTGCAACCCGTTTTTTCTCAACAAACATCACACGCACACACACATACACACACATACACACACATACACACACATACACACACGCGCGCATACAGGGGGACCAGCCTGTTGGGCTGCGGCTGCTGTCTGACCTGTTCCACCACCGCGCCATCACGGGGCTCGACGTGGCCGTGCGCAAACCGCTCATCGCCACCACCTCCCTGGACTGCAGCATCCGCGTGTGGAACTACCACACACACGCGCTGGAGCTTGTCAAGTACTTCTCCGAGGAGGCACACTCCATTGCCATCCACCCGAGCGGCCTGTTTGTGCTCGTCGGGTTTGGCGACAAGCTGCGGCTCATGAGTCTGCTGATGGACGATATGCACACCATCAAGGAGTTTAGCATCCGCGAGTGCAAGGAGTGCCGCTTCAGCAACGGCGGCCACCTCTTTGCAGCAGCACAGGGCAACGTCATTCAGGTCCGGGGCATGCGGTGTCGTTGCTCGTGTGGGCTGCGATGGCAATGATAACACTAGCATAGGCGTGTGTGTCTGTCTGGCTGTATCTGTGTGCGTGTGTCTGTCTTTCTTTTTGTCTCTTGTCTGTGTGCGTGTGTCGAGCTGTGTGTATATGTCCCTCTGTCCCTCTGTTCGTATTTGCATTACCATCACTGGCACTTTGTACCGACACAACCACATCCGTGAGACCATGCACCACCCCTCTCCACGCCAATCCGCCCTGCATTTGCATCCCGGCTCACTCCCAATCGCCGCGGACATGTGTGCGATCATCTGCACAGATCTATTCAACGTGGACGTTCAAGCCTGTCGGGAGCCTCAAGGGCCACAGCGGTCGCATCCGGTCCATCACCTGGAGCCCAGATGACACGCGCATTGTGTCCACAGGCGCTGACGGCGCCGTGTACGAGTGGTCCACGCTCGAACGCCGCCGCATCAACGAGTGCGTGCAGAAGACGTGCAGCTACACTGGCGCAACACTCGACCCAGAGACGGGCGCTATTTATGCTGTCGGGTCCGATAAGATGCTGAAGCGCATCCACAACAGCGACATGGAGCTCGAGGTGCCCGTGAGCGCACGTGCCACGTCCGACCTGGTGCTGACGCAAGTGATCGTGTCGAGTTCCGGCAAGATGCTCCTGGCGGCGACGGCGCAGGGCAGTGTCAGGTCGTACAAGGTGCCGCTGGAGCTCAAGGCGGAATGGACGTCCACCTGCACGCATTTCGGGGGCGTGACGCGGCTGCGCATTTCGCCAGACGACCAAACACTCTTCAGCGTCGGCGAGGACGGATGCTTGTTCCTGCACAAGCTCACAGACAAGGTGTGGTGGGAACAGGAGCGCGAATCACTCTTGCAGAACTTGTGTGTGCATGACAGCATGTGCATGAGCGAGCATGTGTTATGAACAACAACATAATAGCTTCAACTCACCTTTATGCATGCTCGAATGTTCTCTTTTGTGAATGCACGTATGTGTGTGTGTGTGTGTATGTGCAGGACGGGCGAGCGGGAAAGCGCCGCGCCCTCAGCGATTGGGCCGACGAAATCCTCATAACCAAATCGGACCTCGAGGAGAAGAACACGCTCATGAGCGAGGTTTGTGCGCACTGCTGCTGATGTTGCTGTTGCTGTTGTGGTAGTGGTGGTGGACGAACAACGATGCGTATCGACACGCCATCCTCACACTCACACGCACACTCAAACTCACACTCGCACTCACACACACACGCACACTCAAACTCGCACTCACGCTCACGCTCACTCACTCACACACACACACACACACACACACACTCTCTCTCTCTCTCGCACTCACACACACACACACACAACATGCGTCGCACCTCCGCAGCTGAAGCGGCGGGTTGAGGAGCTGCAGATGGCGAGCGAATACCAACTCCGGCTCAAGGACATGAACTACAACGAGAAGATCAAGGAGATCACAGACAAGTTCACGCAGGAGAAGGAGGACCTCAAGCGCCAGCTGCAGTCAGGTGTGTGTGTGTGTGCTTGTGCCGTTGTATGTGCGTGTGTGTGTGTGTGTGTGTGTGTGTGCTTGTGCCGTTGTATGTGCGTGTGCGTGTGTGTGTGTGTGTGTGTTTTTGCGTACTCCGCTGTTATGTGCGTACATCACATACTCACATCAACATCACAACAATATCAACACAATCAACCACAACCATCCACTGCAGTGAAAGCGGAGAAGGAGAAGGAGGAGAACCGCCACAACGAAGAGATTGCGTCACTCAACGACCGCCAGCTGCAGGAAATCCAAGAGCTGGAGCACCAGCACAACCAGAAACTCATGACAGAGTACGAGAAGTACCAGATGCTGCAGAAGAAGTCGCAGGAGATGCAGTCTGATTACGAAGAGCAGCTCGAGCGCATGGCGTCGTCCAAGGAGCAGGCCCTCAAGGACCTCGCAGAGTACTGGGAGGTGAGGCCTGGATTGCGTGTGTGTGGTGTGTGTGTGTGTTTGCGTGTGCGTGTGTGTGTGTGTGTGTGTGTGGACCTGCTTGTGTCGTCTTGTTTGGCATTTGGGATCACTCCACTCCCTAGCCATCACACACATGCACACAATTGCTCACACACAACATACACGCACAACCCCCCCCCCAAAAAAAACCCCCTCCAGAGCAAGCTGCGGGAGAAGACGGCGATGCTTGAGGCGGCGAATGAAGCTGCGCGGGACCAGCAGCGCGAGCACGAGGAAATTGTGCGGCAGATTGAGCTGGACGCCGACAAGGAGATTCTCGCCATGCGCCTCAACTACGAGAAGGCGCTCAAGGAAGAGAAGGAGCACGGCCTTGAAGTTAAGGTGCGGTCCTCTTGCTGGCGGCCTTGACGGCCGTGGTGGTGGGGAGGGGAGGAGAGAGGGGGGAGTGCCGCTGCTGATAGGTTTGTGCAAGGCACGTGTTCACACGTGGATTCGCGCACAACTCTGCGCACACGCGCACACACACACACGAACACAACTACGCTCTAAATTAAGCACTCACGCGCGCGCGCGCGCACTCACCCACTCACTTGCACGCACATATATATGCACACGCATGGACAGGGCGAGAACGGGATTCTGCTAAAGAAGTTCAAGGCGCTGCAGAGGGAGATTGAAGAAGAGCAGCACAAGCGGGCGGACATGCAGGCCGAGCAGAAGAAGCTGCACGCGCACATCAAAGCGCTGGAGCGGGAGATTGTGAGCGGGAAGAAAGAGATTGACGAGCGCGACGAGACGATTCAGGACAAGGAGCGACGCATCTACGACCTGAAGAAGAAGAACCAGGAGCTGGAGAAGTTCAAGTTTGTCCTCGACTACAAGATCAAGGAGCTGAAGAAGCAAATTGAGCCCAAGGACCAAGACATCCGGGCCATGAAGCAGCAGATCTCGGAGATGGATGTGGAGCTGGAGCGGTACCACAAGACGAAGGACGCCCTGCAACTGCAGGTGGAGGAGACCAACACGAAGCTCAAGGCGTCAGACACGCAGCTGCGCAAGCACCTGTCCCGGGTGAAGTTCCTCGAAAACGTCATTTCACGGTTCAAGTCTGAGCTGCAGGGTGCTGTTGGCTTCATCCAGGAGCCGAAGAAGCTCGCAGACACCGTCCGCGACATGCACCGCCGCCACTGCGTTGATGTGCGTTGTGAATTAGATTGTTTCATTTGTGTACTTGTTTGTTTGTTTGTTTGTTTGTTTGTTTGTTTGTTGGCTGGTTGGTTTGTTGGTTTATTGTGTATGTGTGTGTTTCTTTGTGTCTCATCACTTGTTGGTTGGTCACTTGCTGACGCTCGTGTCAAACCCGCACGAATTCTCAGTACCTCTTAGCTCGTGTGGTTGGGCTTCAATCACCTCACACTGCACCCCGCATCGTCATACATTCACCACCACCACCACCCCCTCCCTTGTTTGCTATTGCTGCAGTCTGACGATAAGGGAACGCCCATCGAGGAGGACATCCAGTCCGAACACAATCGCCAGCGCGACTTCCTCGAGCGAAACATCGCCGCCCTCCAGAAGAAGGTGTGTTCGTGTGTGTGTGTGTGTGTGTGTGTGTGTGTGTGTGTGTGTGTGTGTGTGTGTGTGTGTGTGTGTATGTGTGTGTGTGTGTGTATGTGTGTGTATGTGTGTGTGTGCGCGCGCCTATCTATCTGTCTGTCTGTCTGTCTGTCTGTCTGTCTGTCTGTCTGTCTGTCTGTCTGTCTGTCAGCAGTTGCCTGCTTCCAATTTGAGTTTGATTGCCTCATTCGCTCACGTGTTTGCACGAAAATGCTTCAAAACAAACAGCTGAAGAAGGCCGAGGAGGCGCACACGTCCGAGGTGGGCCGCATTATGCAAGAAAACGTTGGCCTCATCAAGGAGATCAACGACTTGCGGAAGGAGCTGAAGATGGCTCGGTCCGACGCAAAGCAGCTGCAAGGCACACTCAAGACAACGCGCACGCTCGCGCAGATGCGGGGGCAGCCGCTGCCGTCGAAGGACGAGACGAAGAAGCTTGCAGGTATGGCTTGCGTGCACTTTTTTGACGTCGCTACTTCTCTTCTTGCTGGGCTGCTGTTTGTGGTGTGGTGTTCGTAGCATTGTGTTGGTCGTGTTCGTGGTGATGTGTGATTGCTTGTGACCGCTGATGCTCACTCATTGTGTCAGTTCAAGCATCTTCCTTGCCGCGGTATCTCACGGTGTTTTTGATCATGTGCACGTGCACGTGCGCGCATGTCATGCAGGTGTGACGACGGCCACCCTGCGGGAATCGTACGAAACTGAACAGACAGATCGCATCATCACCATGCAGAAGCAGGAAATCAGGTGCGTGCGTGTGATAGTGTGTGTGTGTGTTAGTGGGTGTGTGTTTGTATGTGTGTTCGTGTGTTCGTGTGTGTGTGTGTGATTGTGTTCGTGTGTGTGTGTGTGTGATAGTGTGTGTGCGTGTGTGTGTGTGTGTGATAGTGTGTGTTCGTGTGTTCTGTTCATCGTGAGCAAAATTGAATTTACAAACCTCATCGACTCTGACGCTCACGCACATCCTTCCGTTCCACCACCACCTTCCTTATCACCCTTCGTCCATGCGCAGGCGGTTGCGGGAAACGATCAAGGAGATGGAGAAGATCTCACAGAGCCGCCCACCGTCCACGGGCCGACTGCCACCCATGACCACCGCATAGTTGCATGCTGTTGGCGTGGTCGCTCGTTCGCTTGGTTTGTGTTGTCGTGTTGTGTCTGTACTCCTCCTTGTGGCTGTTTCGATGTGTGTGTGTGTGTGTGTGTGTGTGTGTGTGTGTGTGTGTGTGTGTGTGTGTGTGTGTGTGGTTCTGATTTGCTGTTGTGGTGGCTCATTCTTCCAGTGGCAAGTCTGTGCACCCCTTTTTCTTGTGTTGCGCACTGCTGTGAGCGAGCGCAGCAGTGTTGTTTACATATCGCTGTCACGGCACCGTCGCCACCTTCTCATATAGCAGAAACCAGACAGCACGAAGCAGCCATGCACACTTGCACAACAGCGTGATGGGTGTGGGAGGAGAGGAAGCGGAAGGTGGGGGAGTGGGAACAGGCAGAACACACCAAGCGCATGCATGCGCACAATCCAATTCACTATTTCGGTACATCCTTCTTCTCCTCCTCAGCCTTCTCCTCCTTCTCCTTCTCGTCGTCTGCCTTCCAGTCAAGGGCAACAACAATGACGCTGATGTTATCGCCACTGCCGCGATCAAACGCTGTGGTCATGATGAGGCTGGCTGCCGCGCGCGCATCAAACGAAGGATGGCGCAGCACACCAGGGTCGCTCGCATCAGGGGTGGCTTGCACAACTTGCCGGTGTCTGCAGTGTTGTGGTGAAAGGCGAGAGTGTGGAAATGTTGTGTAAAGGGGGAAGAGAGAGCAAGCGTGAGGAACTACAGGTGTGTGAATAGGCTACGCTGGTGGTGGATGGGGTTAGGCTTAGGCAGTGCAAAGGGGGCACACGGAACTGGAGCAAAGATGCGGTTGGGCTGCACTGCCAGCATCTCACCTGTCAAGGACGAGCGACATCACGTCATCATCCGAGAGCACATCCCAGACGCCGTCGCACGCCAGCACGACAAACGCGTCTCTGTATCGCTGCAAGTCGTACACACACACGTCCGGCGTTGCGCTGACGATGGGCGACGGCTGCTTCAGCTGCAGATCACCAATGGACCTGAGGGGTGTGTGTGTGTGTGTGTGTGTGTGTGTGTGTGTGTGTGTGTGTGTGTGTGTGTGTGTGTGTGTGTGTGTGTGTGTGTGTGTGTGTGTGTGTGTGTGTGTGTGTGTGTGTGTGTGTGTGTGTGTGTGTGTGTGTGTGTGTGTGTGTGTGTGCGAGCAGAGGTAGCGGTGATTTGGAGAGACGTCAGACTTCCGTGCGTGATACTCGTTGTCTTGCGCTCCACAGGCTTATGGCACAATGTACAACACCACTAGCACCACCAGCACGCACGAACCCGCCTCACCTTGCTACGGCCAGCAAGACCTGCGGCGCCTTGTCCTCCTGTCAGTGCAGCCATGGGCACCGCAGTCATGAGCGCGCGCACACACACACACACATTTGGCTGTGAAGAGAGAGAGAGAGAGAGAGAGAGAGAGAAGAGAGAGAGAGAGAGGGAGGGAGCACGCACGCCAGAGAGAGCTGACCACAGACAGCAGACGAAAGGCATGCAAGAATTCAAGTACTTGCCTCGCACGCACACGCACAAATGCAAATAAACGCACACGCGCGCGCACACACGCACACACACACACACACATGTCCACGCATGTCCACACAATCACATACACACAAACCTTTGTCTTGAGAGTGGTGCGGTAGACCCTGCCAATTTTCACGATGCGCCCACCTGCTTGCTCAATCCGCTTTCGCTCCCGCTCAATTTCGGGTTTGTGGTCCTCCGTCAGCCGGACCTGTAGGCGAGGGCGGGGGTCATGAATGAGAGAGTGGTGACGAATTTGGAGAGGCGGGAGTTGCGGGAGGACGGAAGCTGGGTAAGTACGTCCACGGTTCACACACACACACACACACACACACACACACACACACACACACACACACACACACACACACCGCCTTGTTGTCGCGACAGAGGATGGCTCGCGAGTCTCCGAGGTGGGCGGTGAAGAGCTTTGTGCCGAGGATACAGGCAATGAGGACACAAGAACCATCCATGCGCTTGCGCATCTTTGCAAGGCGGAGAAAGTCTGCATCGAGCTCCTCCACAGCAGTGGTGATGGCAGACTTGATATGGTCGTCGTCAAAGGTCGCCAGCTGCTTGAGTTGAGCAAACACCTTTTCATGGAGATGCTTCTCGCAGAACTCGGATGCGTCTACACCACAGTGGCCGTCATACACGCCGTAGAGCGCACACGGATGCACCTGCAAACCATCCACGGCATCCAATACCGCGTGGCGGT